AAACAATTGAGAAAGAAAATGGATGTGTAACAGTATATTGGTTCACAGCAGTTTAATGTTCTTGTTGCTTTCTCTGTTCATGAACGTTAATCAAACAACAAAACACAAAGAAAAATCACTTTTGTAGCTTTAACACAGATTTATTAGATTTAATTTATAAAGTGAAGACTATGCAGTGTTATTTTACATTTGATTATTCAATTTCTGTACCTGAATACTGTTAGACTTACCTGAAAAATATAAAGCACTGCTTATTTCATTTGTATCTTTGTTCTGTTATATTTATCTATGCTTGTAATTTGTTTATTATTTCCCCCCACAAATAAACTATTCAAGTCATGTGGTGATTTATTTTTTCATATCGCAATATATATCGCAGAAAAATAAAATATCGCAATGTGAGTTTTTTCCAATATCGTGCAGCCCTAGTACTGCTGGTTTAGTACTTGTTTTTAGGTACAAATAAAGTAATCTCATTTATACAGACTTGCTTTATGATTTTGTTGAGAGTTTTATTTTAAATGATCCTTTGACCAAAGCTTGGATAAGATTACATCAACATTTGCTGGAAGTACAATTGTTTGTGTATGCTAAACGTATGCAGCATCAAACCAGTTTAAAGCGTGAAGGAAAGCAGATTCTGTAGTGAGAATATGTCAGACAAAAGCAGAAGTTGATAAACAGACATCTGTTGTTTGTGTAAGGGAGGCTGTTGGCAGAGGCGGGGTTCGGAGGGCTTCTTCTGCCAGACCCAGTGTTGTGGGAGGGCTAGTGTAGTACAGGAATATATCTATCTCAACTGAGCTCAACGTTGTGAGTACTATTATTTTTCAATAAGACATTTCGCTGTTTTGTTTGTGCATTTACCTTCTTGTGCATTTGTATTCTTCCTTTTTTTACTTTAGATTTCATAAGGGCAACTTTATTTCTTGTAATTGTCACTTTAATTTCTATAATTACGACTTCATATCTCACAAATATCACTTTTTTACAACACAGTGTGACTTTTAATTACAAATTATGACTTTATTTCTCACAATATTGACTTTATTTCTTATTTTGAACTTTATTTGTTGTAATTAAAACTATTTCCCATAATTGTGACACAATGTGACTTTCTCACAATGTTGACTTTTTTTTTTTTTACATTTTTTGTTTTATCTCACAATTACATTTTGTATTTTTTATTCTAAGACAGAAACAGGCTTTCACGGATTGTTCTGTGGTAAATAAAGCAGAAGAGTTCTGTATCAAAAATACAATAAAATAGCAATATTGTAAAACATTATTATAATTTAAAATATCTGTTTTCTATTTCAATAGAGTTTTCAAATGTAATTTATTTCTGTGATGGCAAAGCTGGCTTTTCTCTGTTACTCCAGTTTTCAGTTTCGCATAATCTTTCATTTTATTATGCTGATTTGATGCTCAAAATACACTTCTTATCATTATCAAAGTTTAAAACATTTGCTTATTATTTTCTGGAAACTATGATACACTTTTACAGGATCCTGTGATTAATAAAGTTAAAAAGAACAGCATTTAACTGAAATAGAATTTGTTTTTGTAACACAGTAAATGTCATTACTGTCATTTTTTATCAATTTGATGTCCAAACTTTTGAATGTTAGTATAACCTCAGTGTTCAGTAATTCATAATATTCAGATATTTATCCTTCAATAAACATGGATCTTTTGTGCTGATTTTTCAGTAATACTCTTAAGTCCATATTAGAGTAATTTCTTTCCAGGGGAATATATTAGCAGTAGTAAAGAATTCAGTTTAGGAGAGAAAGGGCTCAGTGTTTAGTGAACAGTGAGCTGAGGGTGCTTATTGTACAGTAAAGCTTTATCATGACCCTATTCATGGTTTCAAGAGGCGGTTCAATGTTCACTGTGTTTTGTGTGTGTGTGTGCCATTCAGGAATCCCACATTCCTGTTGTGCATTTCTAGACACTAAGATAACACAGTGCCCACACTGTAGCCAACAAAGCACATTTCTAACTCTGTGTGATTGTGTATGTGGGTCAGTGTAGCAGTGTTTATAGAGAAAAATTTAATATTTCAAACAAAACAAAGGATTTTAGACAATATGCTTGCTTTCTTTCTTTCAGGTAAGGCTGAGGATCCCGGAGTGGTAGGAATGGAGTTACCCGTTGCTCGCAACATCAAGATCAGTAACATCACCTGCGACTCCTTTAAGATCTGCTGGGATATGGACCCTCACACCACAGAGAAGATCACACATTACTTCATTGACCTTAACAAGAAGGAGAACAAGAACTCCAACAAATTCAAACACAAGGTAATCAATGATTCAGTTCACAACACAAATTATTTTAATTATTCTGCATAGTCTTGAGTATTGCCTGGGGTTTCAAAGTTTGTAATAGTTTATAATACAAATGGGCTTTTTTTGCCTATTTATGAGAGCATTTTAGCTAAATTTCATACTGTTGTTCATCGTCATAAAAAAGATTCAGATGATTAAATGTCATTAATTAGTCAATTCATTCCTTGATGACTCTCTGTCTTTAGGATGTGCCTACGAAGCTTGTTGCTAAGGCAGTCCCATTGCCCATGACAGTGCGAGGCCATTGGTTCCTGAGTCCACGGACAGAATATACAGTTGCTGTGCAAATAGCATCCAAACAGACTGATGGAGATTACGCTGTATCAGAATGGAGTGACATTGTTGAATTTTGTACAGCAGGTAAATAACCCAAACACACATACAGATTAAAAAGAATGTAAGATGAAGATTGTACAGCACATTTGATACACACAGGTAATTAAAAGTGCTTTAAATTGGCATTAAAAGAGAGAAAAAAAATACAATTTAAAAAAAAAGTGATACAAATAATATGTAAAATCGCTTAGGAATATAAAAATGATTGAGGAAAAATGCTTTAAATACCTAAATACCAATAGGAGAATAAAGACATGGATCTTTTAAATGTTGTGCTGTTGATCAGCTTTTTATGTGGTTAACAAGACTAAAGAAAATTGATGACAAATAAAAACATTTCCTTCAATTTTCTAGATTATTCCTCGGTGCATTTGACGCAGCTGTTGCAGAAGGCTGAAGTCATTGCTGGCAGGATGCTCAAGTTCTCCGTCTTTTACCGGAATCAGCATGAGGAATACTTCCAACACTGCAGGTGATTCAGAAAAAAAAAAACAACTGTAAAAAATGCTTAGTATATGAAATAGGGAGGGAAAAGAGAACGTAATGCTGGTTGAGGAAGATAATGACAATCTTGCTTTACTGCTAAGATTCAAATCGGCATTAGAAAGTAAACCGCTCACTCTTGTGGAATCATTTTCTCATTAATTAGCTGGGTTTACTTTCTTCTTTTTGTGAACTGCATTTATATTTTCTCTTACACTAATGTTCAAAAATTTGGGGTCAGTATGGGGTGGGGGGGGGGGCCGTATAATGCTATTTCATGCAGAGTTATTTACACTGTTAAAGGGGTCGTATGTTGCTGCTAAAA